AGGAGCTGAACAAGATCACAAAAAATAATTTTTTGAAGTGCTTCGAGGATTGGAAAAAACGTTGGCACAAGTGTATAATATCTGATGGGGATTACTTTGAAGGGGACAAAATAGATATTCATGAATAAATAAATAATTTTTGAAAAAACACAAAATTCACGATACTTTTTGAACAGACCTCGTATATGTATATAGAGTGTTCCAGAGCGATCGTACCAGGCTAATTTCTTAAAAAATATGCATTTTCATGAAAAATGTTTTAGACAAAAGTTTGTCGATTTCAAGGGGAACATAAGAGGATACCATTGGTTTGATGCAGCGTTGTTAAGGAATGGTCACGTTGTATTTTTCAAATGGAACCTCCCATTTTTCATAATATATTCTTGTAGCTAACCTGTAAGTAGTGAGTAACACCAATGCCGATGGTATATTGTAACTTTCGAGCCTCATAACTCGATGAAAAAATATTTTATTATAGTGTTTTAAAAAGCTCTCGAGGTTAGCTGCAAGAATATGTAATGAAAAATGGAGCGTTCCATTAAAAAAATTCAACGTGACCATTCCCTGACCTTAACAACGCCAATCAAGGTCAAACCAATGGTACTCTCTTATGTTTCTCTCAAAGTCGATAAACTTTTGTCTGAAATATTTTTCACGAAAATGCATAGTTTTCAAGAAATTAGCTTAGTACAGTCACTCTGGAACACCCTTACATATGTATACGTGTTATACATATATGTATGTATATTTTAAACGCTTCAACTTTGAAGTGGAATATCTCGATTTTTAATCCCGCTCCGGGTATTGAATTTTAAAACATATAATATATTCAGGACACTAAAACAAGCTTATTCTGTAAGTTTCAGAAAAATCTAAAGAAAATGGATTTTTTCGGAGAACGTCCTTAAGATTACTGTTGTAGAAATTTTGTTTGCGGCAGCCCTTATAACCACAATCATTTAAGGCCATGGCACCGTAAGAATCAGCCAATTAGAATTAAGAGTTCGAAAGAATTCTCGACTGTGATTGGTTCATTCTTACTATACGTCTTATGGTTATGAACGAAAGATGTGTGCCATGGCCTTTACACGTATTTTACAATAAGTCATTAGTAATAAATTAGAAATCAGATGCTAAAAATTGATCATAATCAATTATTCTTCTTACATTTGACTATGATTAGTCAATTTCTAACATTTGACTTCTGATTTATTACTAATGGTAAATTTAAACTTTATTGTAGAATGTGCGTTACAACTGCTTATACAATTATAAAATAGGCATTACCCGGGATCTACAATAGATTTTTAAGCTTTAAGCTAAAGAATAGACAAATCACAATCAATTATTCTCCTCGCACTCGACTGTAGTTGGTCAATTTCTTATGGCTTAAAACACCTATTATAGATCCGAACTTATGGGCTTTCTATAATAAGTCATTACCTAAATTTTAAGTCTTAAACCGTAAGAAATTGATCAATCATAGTCAATTATTCTTTTCACATTCAACTGTGATTGATTAATTTCTTATGGCTTAAGATTTAAACTTAGATAATAACTTATTGTAGAAAGTCTATTACACGGACATTGATGTGATGTCATAATGACCCGAATATTTCTTTGTCTGCTCTTGTAATATTATCTATGATTACATGGCGTTTAGGACCCGTTGTGTCTCTTTCTATTTTTGATGAGAGCAATACGACAGAGTGAAATAGCATTAGACGTCACAAAAACTGTTAATTTCCGGCTTCATCCTCCACCACTAAAAATCATAGGAATGCTTGGTCTACGTATATATGTACGAGTCATATTCGGAAAGTGAGGTTACATTTTACAAAAATCGAAAAATGAATATTTATTAATAAAATTTATATGACATATTACACAAGTAAAGCACTATTTTTCCAAGTAATCGCTATTCAGTTCCAAGCATTTGGTGAGCCGTGATATCAACTTTTATATTCCTGTGTTATACGTTTCTGCCATCTCCCTTGACCATTCACACACAGCATCCTTCACCTCTTCGTCAGTAGAAAAACGTTTCCCTCCCATGTGTTCTTTCAACAGGATGAAAAGAAAAAAGTCACTTGGTGCTAGGTCAGGACTATGGGCAGAATGGTCCAGAATATCTCAATCAAAATTATTGAGATCGATCGTTTTGCACGTGGTATGGGGCCAAGCGTCATGCCCTTTGTCAGCTGCCATTTTCTTGTTTTGGATGGCCCATCGAAACTTCTTAAAGGTCTTGCAGTATCTGTCGGCATTAATGAATTGACCTGGAGTGAAAAAATTGGAGGCAAAACAATCGATGTCCTCAACAATTTTGGTTGAGATATTCTGAATTATTCTGCTCATAGTTCTGATCTAGCATCAAGTAATTTTTCACCATGTTGAAAGAACGCATGAGCAGAAAACGGTTTTTCCTAAACGGAAAGTGTTTTTTCCACTGACAAAGAGGAGAAGAATGCCGTGTGTGAACGGTCAAGGGAGGTGGCGGCAGAAATGTATGACATAGGAATACAAAAGTTGATAGCACGGCTCACCAAATGTTTGGCACTGAATGGCGATTACGTGGAAAAATAGTGCTTTACTTATGTAATTATGTAATCGTATAAGTTTTTTATTAATAAATATTCATTTTTCGATTTTTGTAAAATCTTGTAACTTTACTTTCCTCATATGTCGTTGTCTATACCCCAAATTTAACTATCAATTATTTAGGCTCCTTGATATAAACAGTTAGTAGATGATCTTCTTTATGATCAAGCCTCATTTTTTTATAAACTCACCTAAAATATAGATCAAGATAGCAATCATGTAACTTTTTTCCTGAGACTAAAATGTAAAAAAAGATTTTTTTTGTATGTATATACATGTATGTACATACATACATAAAGAATTTTACTTTTCTTGTTTCCACTCTAAAGAAAAAGTTATATGATCGCTACCCATGTTGTAAAATAAGTCTCTTAGAGTAAATGTAGTCATTATGCCCCAGTCTCCATGATGTCAGATTAAAGAATAAATGATGCTTAGAAATACTGTAAGGTCTGATTGCGCCAATGTTACTTTGATTTTAAGCGAGGTTTAAAATTCTTTTTATCTCTATCTCTTTTTGATTTTAAAATGAGACAGATAAAGTTTTATATCTTGCTAAAAGTTAAACTGAAGTTAGTGCAACCAGGCCTAAGGCTAATATTATATTCATCTGTTTTTTGTTGTACTACAAGCTTTTCAAGTCTATCGATTTTGCTGTCCTACAGTCAATTAACTCTTGAAAAATTTGTCGTACGGCACATGTAATATCAGTCTATATACGCAAACAACGAAACGTACTCAAAGTTTGCTATATTATAATTTAATAAGACATTTATAACTTGAATATTTTATAAGTATTGCAATTCACTTGTGTAAGAATCATGTGTTTGACAGACAAGACACCCTTTGACAAATGTAGAAGTGATAGCTTCCTTTTACCTTTTCAGAAATTTAGCCTCATCCATTTTACAGCTCACTATTTCGTTGGATTTCTTGAGAAACTAGAATATCTTCTGTTTTAAATACACTATTTGCCAACTCAGCCAATTCTCTCTATTAAGGGTCGACAGGAGAGATTATGGAGACCACTAGTTGGAAACGAATTCCTTAAGTTGAAATTATAGCTAAAATATTGCAGTGTTTTAATTGCGATATTCGTAATCAAGAAGTCATTTGAAGACTTGTAATTTTTTTTTTAATTAAGCAAAATAAAAATTTATCCTAATCTCACCTGATGTGTACTATAGTGCAGTTGAGATGCACAAAATCGTATTTACAATTTTTTTTCTAAAAATTAATTTGCAAAACCGCTTCTGTATGAGTCATCCCAGTAATATAAGAAAGAAATTTCACAAGGAAATATTATTTCTTTAAGAAAAAAAACCAGCATAACTGAACTAAATCTGCATTTACATATAAGGTGTTTTCCAGCAAGAAATACAGATTCTTCTTCTTTTCTTAGCAGTTTAATTGATTAATTCTGGACTACCGATGGTCTTCACTCTTCGGAATTAAATATATCGTAAATTTAAATGCAATGCACCGGCCACCTCGGACCGAGCGGATGTAACAAAAAGATGATGCAATCAAAATGTAAGTGGAAAGCACCCCTTCAGACCACTTCAGCCACTGGGCACCTGCGACTGAGGACGATGCGATTAAGGTGCGCTACCATTGGGCTGCGTTCGGATTCCTACCTAGGTGCTCTCCGAATATCATATCATCCTTGTTGTTTACCGAACGTTAAACAAGGATGACACGACACCCGAGGAGCACCCGGATGGAAATTCGAACGCAACATGGGATGCGGAACTGCGGATATGCGGAACTGTAGAACGTTTGTGATTGGTCGTGATTTTATTTGACCGATTCCGCCGATGCTTGATTGTGTGTGTGTGTGTGTGTATAATACAGTGCATTAATTTGCTGGGTCATAGTAGCGGCCCGACATCAAAAATAAGAAAATGCAGTACTAAAAAGTTGACAAAAAATTCTGAAAAAATTCTTAAAATTCTATGAGAAGAAAATAAATAATTTTTATCTGTTGCAGTTTTTTTGTAAAGTTGACAGTATTTAAGTAAAAAAAAATGTCGATAAATCGGATCGCTACTATGATTCAACGAATTAATGCACTGCAGTGTATATGTACATATATTTATAAAAATTAACCTCATTAAGCTGGTTTAAACGGAGAAAAGCCTCCTACAAGCGCATGATTAATCAACATGTTGAAGCATGCTCAATTTCCACCTGAGCCCTTATTCTTGAAAAGAAATATATATGAAATTCTAGGATAATATTATACGTAACGTATACTGTAGTATTTTCCTAGACTTTCATAACGTTTCTTTTCAAAAATAGGGACTCTGTTCTCGAAAAGTATTGCATACGAAAAATTAGAAAAATGTTATATATGTATAGAAGATAAAGACTCAAGGCTTAAACACAATAGGCATAGGCAATAACGAGCCATCTAATCAGAGCTCTAGTGTGTGAGTTCGATATTATATCCCAGAGTTCTGATTGAACGGCTCGTTATTCTTTGTTGCCTGTGTCTATTGTCTGTGCCTATTATGTTTAAACCTTCAGAGTGCAATTACATGCAGCGCGATACAGAACCTAAGGCCGGTATTCATAGTCGATTCTTATTTCAAAGTCTTAAGTAATGTTTTAAAATGCTAATCCTCTGGTTGATCATGGCTTCTTAAGACCATACTTAAGATGATCTTAAATACAAGACTGACTATACCAGCCTAAGGCTATATTCCAAACATCACTTCAAGTAAAATTTTATTTGATACGCTATAGTATACGTTACATGTACTATATACTTTAAGTAAAAAATTCCTCGAAAAGGATGTTTTGGAACGTAGCCTAATTAGGTAACTATAGGAATCGCCCAAACCGTGTTGTTTGCTTTTTTTCTCTTCTATTACATGTAGCGCGGTAAGTAGTACGGATCAGTGACAAATTTACGTTACTAAGTACTTTTTAATAGAATTAATTGATTTAAATGCAATCATTAAGAAAATCCGTTGAAAAAATAAGAGTATTGATGAAATGTGCATAGAAATAAGTTAATATATTTAAAAAAATTTATATTCAAGTTTATTTGTCATTAGCCCGTGCCTCTTACCGCGCTATATGTTAATAGAAAAGAAAGGAGGCAAGCGGCACGGTTTGTGCGGTTCCCATAATTACCTATGCTACGTTCCAAAACTTCCTCTTCGAGGAAGATTTTACTCTATATGCTATAGTATATACGTTACGTGTACTATATATTTCGAGTAAAATTTTCCTCAGAAAGGAAGATTTAGAACATAGCCTTAATTAGTTTCTGTACCACGTACCGCGTTTCACGCTACATGTAATCGCATCCTAAAGGCTTAAATACAATAGGCACAGGCAACAGGGAGTAACGAGCCGTCCATTCAGAACTCTGGTGTGTAAATTTGATATTATATCCCTATACTCTGATTGGATGGCTCGTTATTTCCTGTTGCCTGTGACTATTGTGTTTAAGCCTTTAGGAGACCGAACTTATATGGACGAGGCCGTGTTCAAAAGTCATCTGGATTAGTTCGATTGAGATGCTGTTTTCGCAATTTGAATGGTAGGTCATACCAATTTTACACGAAAAATGCTCCATTTTTCATGCTGTTTTAATAACAATTTATGTGAATTTATTATATGTCTTTCTGTTATTGTGTGTTAGAGCACGATGTCAAAGAATAACATCTTTATACTTAGGTTACGTGTGTTCGGTTTTGTGTGCGTAAGTGTATATGAGAGGAGTTTTGCAATTTAAACGCTGCCTATCAAGCACCACCAATACCAATTTAGAAACCTGATTTTGACATTTTTCAAACTTAGTTCGGTCTCTTTAGTCTCTATCCTCCATGAGTATATGTAACGTATATTATGTCCTTAGTTTTTCGTATGTGATATTTTTCGAGAATAGATGGATGTTTTTCGAGTGTTGTCATCCTTGTTTAACATTTGGTAAATAACAACAAGAATGGAGTGATACCTGGGTAATACTCGGGTGGGAATCTGAAAATAATCTTGAAGGTAATTAATTAGGTCTCCAGCATGGTATATATAAAGACAAGGATATGCTCGTGCCACGCCCCTATATTGAGCAGTCAATAAAAATTGTGCACAAGTATACGTCATCCTTAAACGCGAAATTCGAATATATGCTTTTAAGCATGTTTTCCAATCCGAAAAATTAAACGTTTAGGTTTGCTTTTAAAGATCAGCAATTTTTTTTATTGTTTTTGTTACTCTTTTAAAATTATTTTAATACTGATATCAGAATACAAATATATACCGATACTATGTGAATTTTTACTATACAATCTGGAACGAATCGAAACGTTTCTGAGCAGCCTCTGATGAAACAAAACGAATAATACTAAAGAAATCCATGTTATTAATAAAATTTGTTATAATAATTTTATATAATATTTTAATAGCATTTTAACCATTATTACGGAGATATTTTTATTTTCACACATCTCACGCCACTTTATAATTATACTGTTCTTTTGGGAATAAAAACGTTCTTGCACGAACTTTATACGACACAAATCGCTCCGAAAACAGTTAAATCTGTCCGAACGTGACGTATGCCATGAAGTATGCTTGTGCCTACGCAGTGATCTACCATCGGACGAGCATACTCTTGTCTTTATACTATGGTCTCTAAATAAATAAACCGGAGGTTAATATGGTCAGCATACGAATGTCATATATATAGTATATAGAATAAAGAAAATGTAAATCAAAATCAAAATAGATATATAAAACAAAGTCGGAGCAATGCCCCTGTATGTATATGAGATTTCCGCAGGAATTCATTTTCCTATGTCCCATTGAGTGGAACTTGCGGATGCGCAATCAATGTGAGCCAATGATAAATACTATTTTGGTAGATCTAATGAAAGTGATCTACGGGAAGACTCTTGTGATTTGTCAGAAATAATTGCGCATTCTGCAAATTCCGCTCTATAGAACATAGAAAAACACATTTTAGCGGAACGGAATTGGCGGAATAAAGTCACGAACGTTCCGCAGTTCCGCATATCCACAGTTCCCATGGGAGCGCACCCTTATGACTCCGCATATCAGCGCGATATTCGTCCCGCGATATCCAATGAGAGTATATCTTTAGAATGAAAACGGTAAGCTGGTGTACCGGAGGCATTACATGTAGCACGGTACGCAGTACAGAAATTAACTAGGTAACTATAAGTCTTCTTTTTGATTGTACTTTTGTACCAGTTCATCTTTCTTCTTTACTTCTAAAGAAAAAAGAAAGAAAGGTGAAGTGATGCAAAAGTTCAGCTAAAAAGAACAGGCCTAATAGGAACGGCGCATCTCGTGCCATTTGCTTCTTTTCCCTTTTATTAATCTGGATTTACAATAGGTGTTTTAAGCTTTAAGCCGTAAGATATTGACCAACTACAATCGAATGCGAAAAGAATAATTGATTATTATTTGTCTATTTCTTATAGCTTAAGGCTTAAAAATCTATTGTAGATCCAAGGTATCCTGGATAAGGAACGGACAAATCACTTATTCTCCTCGCATTCAACTATACTTGGTCAATTTCTGGTTCAATTTCAGCTTAAGGTATGTGTTCATATGTTACTCGTCGCTCATATTCAGCGACAAATGAGTCACGTGATTTCATATGCTAACTTTGAATGTCGCTCATATAAATGGGTTAGCCATAAATTTTTGGTAATTATATTAATTGTGTTGTGTAAACTGTTGTAAAATCCAAAACGTCATATTAAAAACAGTATTACGATTGGATCCGTCAAGTTGATGCGATTGTGAACAAAAATAAAATAAATCTACGACAAAATAGACGAATAGCATCTGTATGCATTAATGAATGTACAAATTTAAAAAGAAAATATTAAAAAAAAAGATTTTGGGTTGATTCTTTATTTGAAAGACAACGTAAACATGGATTACAAAAAATTATTATTAAAAAATTATCAACGAATAATCGGTTATATGCCTCCATATACCTGTATAATATCGGTAGCTCAATGTCTCGCATTAATCAAGCTCCGAGCTCCCTCTGTGGACGCTTTTGGGTACGTGCGTGATGGGGGGGGGTCTGGCGTTGCGCGCTACAGCTCGCTCTCTCGTTTTGTCTAGCCGACCGTTCATCACGATTGCTCGTGCTGTCGTGGGCTTTTTTCCGCTGCTTAATCGCGGCATCGCTCGCTTGTACCTTTGTGGTTGTGCTGGGATACCGACTTTGGGTGGCCACGACGACGCGACTCTCACGTTGTCAACGATTTCGTGTTGGAGGTTCGGAGTCAATAACGAAAGTGAGAACGATTTCTCAGTGTGTGGTGTTGAAAATAAAATGGAAAGAAAACCAAAACACTTTGCCCGTTAATTACCTGGCCCCCTCCTTACCGTACACTCCCGATACGGAACAATACCCATGAGTTGAAATGCTCTTTTCGTCTATGATTATTTTACATACGCCAAAGTATGTATAGCAGTCATCTGGAAATTTCATGAAATTATCGCAAATAATACAATAATTAAATAATAATAAATAATAATAATAATTTAATAATATAA